ATGTTGTTGATGTTATTGGCATTCCCATTAGGATTGATGTAGTTACTGATACTGGAGTCTGTAAATGTAAGAACATTACCATCATTGTTGCTGTTATTGGAGATATCAGTATTTCTGTTGCTGCCGATGTTGTTGTTGTCGTTCAGGACATTAATTGAAGCATTTGAAAGTTCATTACTATTGTTATTGTTGATGTTATTACTGTTGTCGTTAGTGCTAACACTAAAAGGCACTGATGTTGATAATTCATTTTGTTGCTGTTGTATTTGTGTCTGTTGTTGTGTTTGTTGCAGTTGTGGAGGTAGCTGCTGTGGTTGTTGTTGTTGTTGTTGCTGCTGTTGTGCTGGTGGTTGTTGTTCGACTGATGAAAGTATTGCAGATAATGTTGTCGCTGGGGACGACATCAACAATGACGATGACGACGACGATATGGTAGATATCGATTCAGTTGAGTTTGGTATCTCAACTGATAATGAAGCACTGTTTATTAATTGGTTGTTGTTTTTGTCGAAAAGCATTGAAGATGTTGTAGTTGTTGTTGCTGCTGTTGCAATATCAGATCTATCATTTGAGATGTTGGAGGAAAAATTTGTTGTTGTTGATGATGATGATTCATTGTTGTTGATGCTGTTGTTGTCAGAAGTGTTGATGTCATTGTTTGTGTTGTTGCTGTTACTGAAATTGCTGTTAAGAAGCGAAGGCAACAGTGGACTAAACAAATTCAGATGTTGTTGTTGCGTTGTTGTTGTTGGCAACATTTGTTGCTGGTTGAAAAATTGTTGAGCATCATTGTTGTTGTTACTGTTGTCAATAGATGGCAATAGATTTTGCTGCTGCATGCAACTGTATTGAGAAGGCTGTTGACTGTAGAACTGTTGAAGAGTATTGTTGTTGCTATTATTGTTATTATAATTACTGATATTGTTGTTGAAAAATTGATTATACGATGGATTGTTGATGTCAGTAGTTTGACCGAGTTCCTCCTGAGTTTTGTACCTCCACTGTACAGCCAGCTGCGAGACGTCAATGCTCAATGGCAAGCCTGTATTCATTTTCAAATTTATGAATTAATCATCAATGTAAGATAGTATTTATTCATATTTCCAATTAATTAACTCCGATTCGGCTGTTTGGTCAGTTTTTTTTTTTTTTTATAAAAATGTACATTAAATATTAAATTCAGTAATAATAGTAATTAGTAAATGAAGAATTTGTAACATACCATCTCATTATGAAAGAAAATTTAAAAAGTTTAGAACTTTGTTGAATTTTACGAAAATGTTATTATACAATAGGGCCAACCTATGCTTTGAAAGAAATTTCTGTAGTTATTTAATTCCACTTTTAAACTGTCATTCTCACTAACCAGCTGTTCATCTGAAAAGTTTGTTACAAAAAATAAATTTCAAAATAAATTAAAATATTAAACATAATTTAAATGATAATAATCCTAACTTCAACCAAACACTAACTATTTTTAACTAGACCGCTATTGGTGGAGCTATCCTGGGTTTGACCTAATTTCATCTGATTTGATTGGTAGAGCAGTGTCCTCATAAAACTGATGCACAATTGGAGTAAGTCATGATGAGACTGTAATTCCAATTAACAACAATTTAGCATTAAAATTAAGTTAATAATTATGCAAATGAGCTGACAATGAAGATTTAATTACTAGGTAAAATTAGAGTTTAGTACCCACCTGTTTTTTGTCAGTTTGCATTTCCGGAGGCAGCAATGATTGAAGTTCCATCATGTCATTCTTTATTCTCTCATTCCTTTCTTTCTGTCGTTCATTGTTTTTGTGTTTTCTGAAGGCATTATCGCTAAAGGTTATTAAATAAATAGATTACTAACTACTATTTGTTGAGATAGGAATGTAAATAAACTAACAAGGCATCAGTTAATGTAGAAATTTATGATGAAACTACTTTAAAAATTAATTAAAATCAACTTAATAAGCTAACGAGGATCTTATGTTGCCATCATTCGCCATTGCCTTTCTTTCATTTCCTCCATCCATTGCAGTCGATGGATCTTCTAAATTTTATATTTTTAAATTTAATTCTTGGAATGAGGACAACAAATCATCATTATAAATAATGTGATGAGATTTATTTAATTAATTTTATATAACTTCAATTAAATTAAGGTCCAGTTGACGTAAAAATTAATAAAAACTAATTCATTATAATTTAACTTGTGAAAAGCTAGCAAACGTTTGTTAACTAAATAAAGTTCAGTTTTAAGCTATTTCAGAAAAAATATAAAGTGTTTTAAATTAAATTGTCTTTTATGAAATAGAAAATAATTTCAAGTTTTTAACGATATTTAGTATAAATTTTTAATTGGTTAGTGTCATGGTCATGGCTATGGACCGTTAGTTAAACAAAACTCAAACAACGTTTGGTGACTTCAGACAAGTGTTATTTTCCTCAATTTAAAATTTTATATAAAATTATTAATAAATCAATAGAAAATAATAAAAAATCAATAAAAATGCAAAACCCATAAATATTAATTATGACCACAAACAAAACTAACTAACCACAGCCGGACTCGTCCCCATCACCTTCCGGGGCAGTCGTATCAGGTTTCATCGCTCCTCTGCTCAGACTCATTCATTCAAAAAATCAAAATTGTAAAATTTTGATTTTTGAATGATAAAAAAAACTATATTATTTACTTCACTTTATAAATTTAAATATCCAACAGATTATCGATCATAAATAAATCAATTTTTAAAGTATAAAATAAATAAATTTGTATGATTTTTACGTAGAAAATGCATTGAGGTGGCAGATTATTAATTACATAACATTGCACGGACAAAGCCATCAAAAGTCGCCATCTTCACCATTGTTTCATGTCATTTCATATATTTATCTACACTCAAATAAGCTGTATAGAAAACAGTGCCTGTAAAAGTAGTGATGTGCCAATTTTAATACTTTGCGCCATGCAATTTAGTTTACTTTTATTCTAGTTGTATGGTTTGAATGATACATGGATATATATAATATATGGATATATATTTAGATATATGTATATATCTATAGACTAATATGATCATTACTTATATATTGTATAAATTTTTATTTGGTTTGTTTATTGATGTAAATTTTTATAGCATAACATTTATTTCATTATAACGGCTAATTAGCTGAATTTCACACAACAAGATAACAACAAGATGAATGAGATTTCAATGGAAGAACATTGCATAGGTACAAAACGAAAATGTGCTAAGATGTATAGCAACTGCGCATTGCGACGGTTCTTGAGCAGATTTCAACAAACTCGATACTATACCAAACCATGTAGATTGAATCATTAAGTATCATGGATATATATATACATATATATATATAATATCTATGTTAAGTATCCTTGAACACGCACTATAGTTCGAAAATTTTACAGTGAATTAAGCTGCTGGACTTTTACAAGATTAACGTAGCATTTGTTGATCTTGTGAGCATGAAAATGTGTAATTTGGTAATTAAAATCCAGACGTTTTTGATATATAGTAACTTGAAGCGGCCAAACAGTTATCATTATGTAATACTGAACACGCACTATAGTTCAATTTTTTGGAATATGGCGCTGATATGATGTAAAGTAAGCCGTTAGTTTTCTTTACTAGATTCAGGCAGTAATCAGTCCCCAATAGTTAAGTGCCATCTCCATATTTATGAAAATTGATCACCTACACTAAACAAAATGAACGAAACAAAACATTAGCGCTGTCGCAATGATCCGCATCTCATAGTTAATTAAGAATGCATGTAAAAATTATTCCACATGCATTATCCACAATTAATGTATAACTCTTCAGAAGGCAAATCAGAAACACATAAGCCTAAAATCATATTATATTCTGAATTTAAACAAATATATATATATATATATATATATATATATATATATATATATATATATATATATATATATATAACGGACTATACGAAAAGTATTAAAACAAAAGTAACGAATCGGGCATACACACTAAACAAACAGCAAAAAAACAAAAATATACACAAATAAGAGATTAAAAATGTATTTAAATTATAAATGACACATACACATACATTCATATATATATAAATATATATATGTATGCATAAAAATATATATATATATATATATGTATATATTCATATTTTCTTATATTTTCATATTTGCTTATGCGCTAATGAAAAAACTAACATTTTAATCAAAACGTACGAGTTTACATGTTAAACTAAGTGTACGCTATACACATACGCACACACACACACACACACACACACACACACACACATATATATATATATATATATAAATTTATATATATATAATATATATATATTTAAGTAATTATCAAACCAAAGTAAAATATAATACAAATCAATATGTTTTAAAATTTAACAAATTATATATATATATATATATTATATGTCTACAATTATATATATTTATATATGACTTGATTTACTACATCAAAAACTAATAACGAATCGTTCATATATATATATATATATATATATATATATGTATATATATATATATATATATATATATATATATATATACTGACATAATTATACACAAGAAACAAACATACATAACATACATGATGATGATAATAATAATAATTATAAATAATAATAATGAAAACAGTTCAAAGTAATGAATGTTTAACAATATATTACCGTTCCCGGTAATATGAATGTAATTGTGTAAGCTAAAAAAAAAATGTACTGGGACAAAGAATTGGAGAGTTAATTATGAATAAATTAATCGTTGTAGCGTCTAGCTCCGTATAATAACAATGATGTCATTAGTATTTGTAATATTAATTATACGTTTATAAAATCAAATGCCGATGAAATGATACTAATGACGTCACTCTGTAAATTATCATCGTCGTCATTTTCATTCATATCATCAACATCATCATCATCATCATCAACATCAAAAAGATCACCATCATTATCATTTTTATCATCCTATCACCACTTAGGATATACACATTATCACCATTGCAATCGTTACTGTTATTATTTCCTATAATTTTTTAGTTATTTTTAATAATATATCTATCATTATTTATCATTAATTCGTCAAACTGAAAATCACAATTAAAATAATAATAATAATAAGAAGAAGATTTTTCAAACTTTCTATCCATGATTTTATTTAATTGTTTTGGTGGCCATTTAAAAAAAAACAATTAAATTTTGCTTCCACGTTAGATTTTATCTTAAAAAAAATTTCATCAAAAAAAAAAAAAAAAAACTAAAAAAATAATATAAGCTATATAAATATATATAAATATATATATGTATATATATATATAAACGAAAAATATATAAAAATACCAGCAGCCAATCACATAGAGTTGTACTGGTGTATTTATATTCGTATTCATTCATTCATTCGTGTTGAATGGTTTAATCAACGTTATCATCATCATTAATTTATTGTACAAATTTTAAATAAGTATACATTATTAACTGCAATAATAACCGAATGATAAATAAAAAAATAGTAATAATTATTATTAAAATCATTTAAAAATCAATTCATTCTTAAATAATTCAACCAATTAAATAAGCAATCCTTTTAACTTGAAAAATAAAGTAGAAGAAAAAATTAATTGAAAAAAAAGCTCAATTATCAACCAAACAAGTTTCCAAACAAACGACAGTTCAGTAAACTAATCAACTATTTGATCAATCAACTTTTAAAATCAACCAACCGGCCAACAAGCAAGTTTGATTGCCTCTAACAATCGATCAATAAATCAACAAACATGGAGTTAAACTAACCAATGAACTATCTTAGAAATCAACAAGCGAATCAAACAACAGTCAATCAGTTTTTAACCATGCAGCCAGCCAAACAAACGACAATCCACCAACCAACCAATAAGTACCAAAAATTAAATCAGCCAACTTAACAACCAATCAATCAACCTTTCAATCACTCCTCCAGCCAGTCTACAAGATATCAACCTTTAAATCACTCAACCAGTCAGCCAAACAACTAAATAACAACCATCTATCCAATCAACCATCCATCAAGCAACCACTCAGCCAACTGCTGCAGATTGTGTTAAGATTGATCGCTCAGCCAGCCAACCAACCAGCCAACCAGTAGATAGACACTTCAATCAGTATAAGCAGATACATATGTTTTTGGAAAGAGGCCCCTACAAACTTGGGTGCCCCTCACGATCTCACCCATCCACCAATTTGGATCCTTCTTCTCGAGGATCGATATGATGTCCCCGCGTTTCAACTCAAGTTCCTCGTTATCAGTCGGGCGAAAGTCGTAGTTTGCTATCACTTTTGCCTGGTCAGTAATTGCATTTTATTTCAACCATTTTCTTAAATTTTCTAATGATTAAACTTATTAAAATTACTCCATTTATTAAAAATTTTCAGAAATTTTCATTTATTATAATTTAACTTCGATAAATTTCAAAGCCAGCTAACAACAAAAACCAAGAATGAAAATATTAAAAAGATTGTATATTATATTGCTCAACAGACAACAGCAGCAGACTGCCATTGTAAAGAACTAATATTCATTATTTAATCTAACAAAATCAACCAGTCAACCATCAACTACTAATTCCTACGCAGAGAAGAGAAATAAAAGAAAACTAAAAAAAAAACCAACCCTGATCATATCTTGCAAGAAAATGGTTTGGGACCTGCTAACAGATGACGTCCTATGGTACTGTACAAGTTCATTCAGTGAATCAAATTTCTTTACCCACAGAAAGTACTTACCCGAACCATCTCTCAGTACTTTGAAGTGTTGTACTTGGTCTGCAAATCTGTGTTTGTTCATGTGTGCGTACGTGCATGCGTGCGTGTACGTGTAGATATGTACAAATGTGCGTGTGTATGAGTAGCTGTGTCAATGTGCTAATCTGTGTATTTACATGAGGCAATTGCAATGGAAGAAATGTGTTTTTATTTCATTTAAATATTTTTTGTCGTAAGAAATGACCATGTAACAGATAAAAATTATGTAAGCGGGACATGAAGATAAATTTAATAACACTGCCTCTTATTACTTTTTTTTAGAACCAAACAATAAAATGCATTGCTGCTGTAAGCATAGTAAGCATAAAAAGACAACATGAAGCATTTTAATGATAACACAAATGCAAAACATTCAGAAAGATACAGACAGACACACACACAGACATACACGGTACACAAAACAATGTCTAACTTAACACTCAGTGAGAATTCTCCGGGGGTTGACTCACTCGGTCGAACTAAGAATGCTCCATCTCTCTGCATGTAGCCCCCTAATTTTGAAAAAAATCATTTGATCAGTGTAAAAAGAAATGAATGCCGGTATACAATGGAGGATAATTTATATGCAAATTAAGTAAGCTTAAATAATTGAATTTAATTTAGATAGTTAGATGATTGCATAAATTATTGACAGGTGGATAAATCGATTGACTGGTTGATTAATTGGTCTATTGATTGATTGACTGACTGATAGAACAACCTTGAGGGTTGCGATCTAACAGCAATGACTCAGCATCTAATCTGTTGATTCTACTGACATACCAGCTGCATGACAGGGTTAAATAATGAATGAATGAATGAATGAATGGGAAAAATGAATGAATGAATGGGAAAAATGAATGAATGAATGGATAAATGAATGAATGAATGGATAAATGAATAGATAAATGTATGAATGAATGACATCATCATCGTCGTCATACACATCACAATACAGACCATCACCAACATTATTATCATTACCATATCATAATCATCATCAAAAATGAAACACGTACGGGTGTGGTTTCATTTCGATGTAGTTACTGGGGACATAACCTTCTCGACCGTCTAATTCGGCTTTGTACCAGTTTTTATCCTCTTCCATACTCAGAACCTTACAAAAATTATCATTATTAATAATTACAATTATTTATCATTATTTTATCATACAAACAATTATTAATCCACATGGGCTTATGACATTGGTTAGTAACATGTTTCAGTTTTACTTACTTTAAGTTTGGCCCCCCTAGAAAAGCTCAGCTCATCATTTGCTGTTGCCTGGAAATCGTGTTTGGCTGTGGCTTCCATGCTAAGGTCATTTATATCACAATCAATTAATTTGATTAATTGTATGCTATTATAAATTATTCATTAGAAAGTAATTATATCTCATTTTAAAGAATTATTGAATAAAAATAAATTTAAAAAATGTAAAATTATTAGAAAAATGTAATTTTATAGCTATACTATTTTGAATCTCCAATTTGTATAGATATATAAATACTTTTTTTCAAGATTAAAATAAGAAAATACTAACTGTGAATAAATCTTAACATTTAATTGTAAATTATTTTTAATTAAAATATATTAAATAAAAACCCCTTAAATAAAAACCCCATTAGTAATTGATTTATATGTTTGTTAATCATTTTAACACCATACATAGAACAAATAATACACACATATTTACATTTCTTCATGCCCAAATTACCATAAAATAAGCAAGTTTTTGAAAATAAATTAATAAAATTAGACTGGATGAAGATAAACATACACTACTAAAACAGTTAACATTTAAAAAACTTAGTTACTATTGGATCATTTTAAAATGTTAGATGTATTTAAAAGCAGTAAAATAATAAGGCATACATTAGTCATAATATTAATCATAGAATAAATAATGTAACTAACATAACTGTTACTCTTTATTTTTACCTTCAAATGAATCTTTTCTGTGAAGTTAAGATCCACCAGGAATAAAGTACTTTTGTCTCACCTGGGAAGAATCCAATTAGTGACATCGTAAATTGGGGTTAGTATTGCTTCAACAACAAAAATTTATAGAATAAAAAATAAGGATTTAAAAGCAGAAGGTGGTAAATAAAAATTTTTAAAAGGACAACTCAAACACCACAACCAACCAGCAATTGAATGTAAAATGGTGTAGAACCGAAAAGAAATTTAAAGCAACAATCCTACAAACCGATTAATTGACCATAAAAAAATTAAAAAAGACGACTTTTAAAAAACTTTTTAATATAATTTAATTAAATTTGTAGCAAAATTAATCAAAAAATTCCGAGTTTTGACATAAAATGGCATACATTGGCAATGTTTAATGTTTAATTTTTAAATGTATAGCGCAATATTTTTCAGATAGACATTCGTTTATCACGACGCATTTTCTCTTCTTTAATCACTAAACTTTACAGTTCAGTAGAAAAAAATACTTTAATTTTGCTTTATATTTTGCAAATACTATAAATGATCTAAATAAATTGAATGTTTATTTCACATATATGGTTTATATTGTTTTAATGAAATGTAGTATAATTTCTAGGCATTGACTTTATTCATTTAACTTTGGAAACTATAAAATACACAAAATATCTAATGAAACTTCAATTAAAATAAGTTTTTTCAGCAATTGAATTAAAAATTACGCATGAATAAACAACTACATTGGATATCAATGGCTTTAAATTACATTAATCCTAGTTATGTGATCCAACCAGAAAGTTAAATAATTTACAATTTTAGGCTTTCCATAAATTCTTGGACTTGAATTAAAAACACTTTTTCAGTTTAAATGACTATTTTATTAATAAATAAGAGTTTATTTCAAAATGTTTTTTAACAGATGTCTAATTTAGAAAATTAGGCAAAATTTGTTTAATTTAATTTGATTTGAAATTCAATCGGTAAAATATATTTGCCAATTTATTTAACTTAACGTTAACCCAACTCTAGATTTTGTTACTCACTTTTTAAATTGTTCAATAGAACTTTTTTTTCCCTAAGGGCCTAAGCCCTACTAACCTAACCTAATCAATAAATTATTAATTATTTTTATATTTTACTATTATTATAATTTAATTTTAGTAGGTAGAATAAGACTGGCATAATTAATAATTAGTTATATGGCGTCATCATGTTTTAAAATCTATTTTCTATTTCATTTCAAAATAACATTCATTGTTCATTCATTTTTAATTTTTAATAATTATTTATTTAGGAAAGACGATTTTAAAAAAATTATTAAATTATTTCATTATAAAATAGAAAAAATGTATTTGATCTGCCTGCTTTTATAATGGCAATTTTTTTTAGTAATATTTCTCAATTAAATATTTTTTTCTATTTTTTCATTTCGTTTAAAGTTTAGTTGAAGACAAATCACTCAGTGATTGAATAATAAAAAGAAACCGAAAACAAAGAAATGAAAAAATTATTCTCAAAAGCCGCCAAAGAAAGTAACATCGACGTACAACAGAGTTTCATTGGAAAGTCTTATACCATCAACTCACAACAGTATGCTGTCGAAGAAGTCATTGCAGAAGGTGATGATGATGATGATTATGATGATGATGATGATTGTGACGATAAAGTTGATGTTAATGATGGTGGTGGTGATACCGATAATGATGGCAATTTTTATTTGATAATGATGATTTTGATGATGTTAGCTTCATTAGTCAAGGTTATGGAATGATGATGATAATGATGATGATGAAAAAGATGATGATGATGATGAAGATGATGATGATAATGTTTATGATAAACAGATTATTAATCTGTTTAATTGTGATGTTGTATAATTAAAGTAATGTAATGATGACGACGACGACAATGATAATGATGATAACATTGGGTTATAATTCTTTTTATGGTGACATTTTAAAATTTCACATTGTACTGTTTTGCTACTGGCTTTTTTTTATTATATTTGAAGTTAAACCAACTTAATGCTAATCATAATATTGATTTTTTTAGCTCCTAATTCATTACAAAATGCACACACACAAACACACACGCACATTTACACACATATACACACTCATACAAGTCAAACACAACTACAAACACATACACACACACACACACACACACACACACACACACACACACACACACACATGTACTCATACACATACAAACAAATACCCACACACACAAACACACATATACACGCATCCATACACATACAAACACAAATACACGAATACATACGCACATTTAAACACATACACACTCACTCATACACGTACAAACACAAATACATACACACACACACAAATTTTTTGTTTTGCTTTGCATAATTTTGTGTCTAATTATTTTTTATTGTATAAATTTGTTCTTGGTATTTCATAATTTTCAAGGTGGTTTCGCCATAGTATTTCTGGTGAAGGCGAGCAAGACGAACAAGAGATATGCACTGAAGAGAATGTATGTCAACAATGAACAGGACCTGGCTGTGTATAAGAGGGAGATACAAATTTATGTTTGTGTTTTTGTTGTTGTATTTCGTTTGTATCCTTCTTTGTTGTATATATTTTTTGTATTTTGTCGTTTGTTTGCACTTATGTTTGTAAAAAAATTTTTTATTATGATTAGAAAGAAATCTGTTTTTCGTTTATTCATACCAATAAATGTATTTGAATTAATGTTTCTGATCTTTTTAATTTTTTCTCTTGCCTCTCTGCTGTCGGTTACGTCTAGAAATCAAACAAATCGCTATTTCCAATACAAATGCAATCAGCTCCTACAGTTTTTGCGTCTGTCACCAGATCTAGATTTTTCAAACCGTTAAACAAAAAACGCGAATTATCAGATGCTACAGACGTTTTTTCCTTTCGGATACCGATATATCGGTATTAAAACATAAAATTTTTGTTTCGTATCGTTCTGAATTTCGACAGTTGATACCGCCTTGTTGAAGTAATTTCTCCCTCTGATTGATAGGCGTATTCTTTTCACATTCCAAATAGCGATAAGCCGGTAGAATGTTTTCGTTTTTTAAGGATTTTTTTAAAGTGATGAGATCATCAATTGTATTATTATTTATTCGTTTGTTTGTTTGCTTGTTTGTTTGTTTATTTGTTATTCTTATTTTTGCCTAGAGCTGTCTGTCTGGTCACAAAAATATCACAACGTATATCGACTCGAGTTTAACGAAGATATCAAATAACATTTACGAGGTTTTAATTCTTATGAAGTATTACAAAGGTTGGTTCTTTGTTTGAGATGGATCAATGAATCATTCATTCAACCAATCATTCATTTATTCAATTTTTCATTCAACCAATCAGTCATTCATTTGTTCAATTAACCAATTTGACTAACTGATTATTCTTACAATCATTCATTCGTTTATTCAATCATTCGTTTGTTCAGTCATCATTAGATCATTTAGTCAATCAAAACAGCAAGAAATCAATCTATCCAATCTTTCGTTCATTCATTCATTCAATTTCAATTGTACATTCATTCAATCAGATATTCAACCACTTTATCAACCTACCTGCGAATGATACACGCATGCACACACGCATACACTCACGCACACACACGCACCCACGCATACATTTTTAGGTTCTTTAGTAAACCAGATGAACGAAAAGATGTCTCAGCAATGTAGCTACACTGAAAAAGAACTCTTTAAGATATTCGCAGACCTATGTGAGGCCGTCTCTAGACTGCATCATTGCCAAACACCCATCATACATAGAGATCTTAAGGTGAAGATAATGATAGAGATGGGGAAAATTCTACCATTCATTCATTCATTCATTCACTTATTCATTCATCCATTCGTTCACTCATTCATTCGTTCACTCATTCGTTCACTCATTCATTCATTCATTCGTTCATTATAAAAAGGCCGAGAACATCTTGATAGATGATGATGGTACGTACATGCTGTGCGATTTCGGTAGTGCCACGTCAAAATTTTATGAGCCCATCAAAGTCGGGGTTCAACTCGTCGAAGATGAGCTGGCTAAGTTTGTGGCGCTTCATTTTTTAATAAATAATTTATTTTCAATTTTTTTTCCTGTTTTTTATTTCCTTTTCAGTAATTTCTTAGTTTTTTGTTTCAATTGATTGATTTTTGTTTTCATTTTTTAATTTGTAATTTTATATGTTAATAAGATGCTAATTAATGACTCCGCTCATCGCCCAACAGGTACACAACTCTGCCGTACAGGTCGCCTGAAATGGTTGACCTTTACTGTGGCAAGGTCATTTCTACCAAGGCCGACATCTGGGCACTTGGTCAGTTTTTGTTTGACCTATTTATTCAAATTATTTATAAAATCTGACGTATCGACGAACGTGATGACAATGATGATGAGGATGATGATGATGATGACGATGACGACGATGATGATGATGAAACAAACAGGTGTACTCTTCTTCAGACTCTGTTACTACAGCAATCCATTCAACGACAGTGTCCTGGCCATTCAGAGTGGCAACTACAGCCTGCCGGATCCCAAAAAGTATTCTAATGATGTCGTCGGCCTCTTAAGTTAGTGTAATTCAGGGATGTGCGAATTATTTGATGGGGAAGAGTGGGTGATGTAAATGATGATGATGATGTAGATGATTGTGGCAATGGATTTGCTAATATGTTAGTAAATGTATTATGCACTTCACTAAATTTGACCAAGATTGTTACTACAGCTCATAAACAGAAATCGCGCTTTTGTTGCCGCTACTTCAAGTTGAAGAAGTTGCGCCAAACTGCTACCTCTATCGCTACATTTTGAAACTTTGAAATTAAACCTTTTGTACCAATAACTTTCTTCTTGACACTTGAAAAAATTTTACAGATTGTCTAAGACATTTGCACTTTGGCAAAGTTATAATTTTAGTTTTCTTAAATAACATTTCATATTTTGTACTAAAAAAGCCGTTTTCAACAATCAAATCTTGTTGTTTTTATCCGCCTCTTCCTAATAACGTGTTGCAAACATACAACCTGATGGCGAAACCGCCTGTTAAAAGTTAACACTTTGTACTAAAGTTGATAACGACTAGAGATTTTTGAGAGGGTTCAACGAAAAACGAACCAGCCTAGTTGAGACGTGACTAAAAAGAACAAAACTTCAGCAATTAACAGATGTAGAAACGAAGACAGCGTCACCCAACCGATGTTACATGTTGCGGTTGTTTTTTGACGTGAAAGGAGAGGTTTGGTGTCGCCACTGCTCAGTGAATGTAGCGAGACGCTATCGCCATCAATAATGAAGTAATAGCCACGCTACTGGAGCGCTACTGGGCTTTTAACAACCCTGCATTTGCTCACCTTCATTAGCATATCCCACCACTCAATTCACCACTGATTACTTCTTGATTAGTGCGACCACAAACCACACCAAACAGGGTACATGCTGACGGTGGATCCAGACCAACGACCGGACATCTTTCAAGTATCCTACCTCGTTTTCAAAACATTGGCAGTCCCGTGTCCAGTTCAAAACTTATTAGTATGCAAATTAGATTATAATTTATGCGGAAAATTTAATGTTAATTTAGGTGTTATAAATTATGCAAATTTTTTTCAGAATTCCCCAATACCTAGCCTGATGAAACCTCTGACACCACCTACACAAAAAAATTCAGATCCAATTAGTGCAAAGAAGTGGGTAAAAAATAAACATATTTAAAATATTTAAAAAAGTGAAATTTTTTTCTTTTTTATAATTATTATTTTATAATTATTCATATTTTTATCCAGGGCCCATCGCCAGCAGACGCCGGTGAGTGTGGAAACAACAACATCTGTGATTCCAAGGGAGCGCCCAAAAGCTGCCCTGGCAACAACGCCATCATCTTCTAACATTCCTTCACTGCAACTCTTCAATCCGTCTGCCATTCAGTCAACACCGAGAAAAAAAAAATTGTCAACAACAGCAGCAGCTTCCACTGCTTCTACTTTTACATCTACCGCTGCTACTACTAGTGCTACAACTAACATTACTACTGCGGCTGCAGTTGCTACGGTTGCCACTGTCGTTGTTACTTCCACTGCTGATAATGCAACATTTGGCAGTGTTGCCTTCAACGATACTAACATATTGCAACAACAACAACTTTTGTTGCAGAAACAATTAGAACATCAGCAACAGCAGCAACAATATCAGCAACAACAACAGTTTCTGAAGCAACATTTTTCAGATGAACCCACTCCAGAACTGCATATGCAACACCTGCAACAACACTTGCAACAACAACATCACTTGCAGCAACAACAGTTGCTACAGCAGCAGCAACTACAGCAGCAGCAAC